CCCCAAAACCCCAAAACCCCAAAACCCCTTTTAATGGAAAAATCCTTGAAAACTTCTTAATAACTTGTTTGGTTCAAAATTAGGTTACTCATGCATCTCAAGGGTAGCCTTTTTGTACTCCTGCTTTTTCTTACTAATGTCCATGAGCAGTTTCTTGTTAAACAAAAACTCTTCCTCATTCATACCTCTCGCACCACATCTTCCTATTGAATGGTTCTCTTTAGGGTCACTCTTGGCAGCTACTAAAGTCACTTTTGGTTACTTTACCTATTTGTTCAATGACATATTTATTATTTTCAATTTCCTTTCTCTTACGTGCTGCTTCTTTAGCCTTATCTTCTTCCTTCTCTTTCTGAGCTTTAGCTAACTCTTGTTCAATGAACCATTTGTTATTTCTGTATTTCCAGGTCCTATAGAGTCAGCCATTGGTGTACCTTTTGTTTATGCTTCTCTTCAACTTGTGTCGCTAAGAAGTAACGCAAGTCGTTCTGGTCACGCTTGAGAATCATCATTTTCTTATTTTCTTTAAGTTTCTCCTTTGCTTCCTTCTTTTTGATACCACTGAGAAGGACCAGCTCTTGTTCTTTATCCTTTTGGCCTTGATCTCTGAGTATTTTCCCGCCCATGATGCTCATCCTGGCTAGAGAGGAGGTTGATGAGGTAGCTTACCTTTTATCTTATTGTTTCTCTCCTCTCTTTCCTGCTTACGCTTGAGGGCTTGAGCCTCGATCATGTTGTTGTAATCTTCAATGAATTTCTTGTCCTGCTCCATCTCCTTGACCTTCTCTTGATTAAGCTTTTCCTTCAGAGCTTCGTTCTCTTCACGAATTTTGGCGTAGAGGTTCCTCTGGAATAACTTCTTTTCCTTTTCCTTCTGCTTTTCAGCCTCTATCTTCTGCTTAAGGTCAGAAACTAGCTTTTTCTCATACCTAGGATTTAGGATTGGGAGTATTACCGTCGCTTTTCTTGGTCATGGAGTTTATTTATGCAATTGATGAGTTTGAACTTGGTTGGCAACCATTTGTTTCCGATCCTCCATTAGTTTGTAAAGTTCGAATTTCTTGGTCTTCTCCTGCTTTTCTTCTTTCTGAATTCTCTGGATAGTTATATTATCAAGTCTTTTATTCTCAATTTGTTCTTTATTTCTAAAAATATGAGGCTGAGAATACCTTGATTGATCTCTGCTCTTGAATCTGTTTCTTCAAACTTTCTTGCATTTTCTTTTGGTTCTTTTGAGTATTCAAAACTTTGAGGCGCTTTTCATGTTCTTCAGCAAGAGCATTGAACTTTTCAATTTCATCCCATTCGTCTTGGCCACTAAAAATACTGATGTTCTCTTCGTTATTGAATCGAGGGATGCCTTGAGCAAGAGTGTTGATACCTCCTTGTTTAAGGTAGCTGTGCACTCCTCTGGAGTTTACTCTCTTATGGCTGTTCTTCTTAATCAAATCTACAGATTTAGTTAATTGTCTCTGAGTCTGATGGTCAGAAGTTCTGATTAAGTTTAGCCCAGTGGTTGAATAATCATTATTCTGCAAAGGACTTCCACTGAAAACAGAAGCCCTATGATTTGGTGTTGGTGATACCGATTTTAAGACCTTGGCTACTTCCTGAAATTTCTTATGGTTTGTCATACTGGTCTTATGCTGTGATATCACATTGGAACTTACTTGAGCACCAAGGCCTTTTTCTGCTAATAATTTTCTCTTAATCTTGATCTCTATCTGGGTCAAATGAGTGCCATTAAGGTAAGCTAGTTTTGATCCAGATTTTGATTCCTGGTTGAAATAATGCCTGATTTCCTCTTCAATCATCTCTCTGACTCTGGGTGACCTATCTTTCATTGCAAACTTATTTTATAACTTTTGTCACTATATGGAGATTTATTAGAATGTCACGATCTTTAAACCCAAGATTTTATTGGTTCGAATTTTGAGCATTTGGGATAGATTTCTTCGACAAGATCAAATAAGAAAAGATTTCAAGTAAGAATTATTGCTGCATATCCAGAATGAATAAGCCTAAAAGCGAATTTTATGTTTGTCATAACAAATACTCAAAAATTCTTTTTATTTCTTCTGAGATTGCTACTTATCACTACCAAACCACCATTAAATAAATTGAACAAATTTGACTTAGAAGTGAGTAACAAAATTCCAAATTACTCTGGAAATAACAATCTCTAAGGAACTGCATACCCATCATGCTGATTAGTCTATCCATTCTCTTCGACTCCTCATGTATCTTTGGCTGATGTGTGTTCTTCCTTTGCCTTAAGAAATTCATTATGGAAGATGGAATAAAATTAATCAATAATTTTATTTTCTCAAGGGGTTTTGGGGTTTTGGGGTTTTGGGGTTTTGGGG